CTTGATGTTCCTTGGTGCAAAACGAGTGTTACGTTGCCTACAAACACGTATTCGACCAGCAACAGTTCGCAGCAGCATTCGACACTCGTCAGACCAATGGATCCTCCAGTTGGCCAAGTTCCATCGACTACGGGCACGACACCATATCAGACGATTCCGCATGTGCCTCTCAGTCAGTTGAGGACATTGTACTGGTCTTCTGGCGTTATAACCAGCCGGTCTGAGGCGACGCCTTACGGTCATCGTTGAGAGTCTCTGATGGGTAATCCACTGCAGTCTTAAATCTGTTAAAGTGGGAAATGGATTTCGTCTGACAATCCTGAAAAGACGTCTATCCTCTCTGTTAGAGGTCTCTCTTGGCCTACCAGACCTATGCCTGTCATTGACATCATTGGTTTGACCATGTTTGACAATCAAACGAGTGATAACACTGTGATGACGACCCATTTGTCTTGCAGTGGCCCCGCATGACATGCCAGCATTTTTCATGCCTATCACTTGCCATCTTTCAGCGTTCGTTAACTTTCTCCTCACCATGGCTGATTTTCAACCCTTATTGGAAGGGGAATCTCACACAGGAGCAAAATGCAATCACGTGTCTGAAACTTGAATTTCACTATTTATAGGGTAGGGGAACTGCAGCAACACGTAAAGAACGCTTTCCTTGTGGTATCTGGACAAATTTGGGTTCATGAAACTATGGAAGCCTAATTCAGTCATACATCATCATATTTCATATTTCTGTTTCCCACACGTGAAATCAAGAGACTATGAATATGGGGGCGCTTAACTTTTGTGCATGTGTATGTTTAATCACCTTCACCAGTTAACTGTTCATTGACTTGGGTAGCAATTACAGTTGTCTTCACTCCCGTGTTGTATTTTTTCGTGATAGACGACGGTGGGTAACATCAAATTTTGAAGTTTCAATCCGAAATCATAATGGATTCTGCGGTCGATGATTTTCGAATTATTTTCTGACAACGATGACGACGGGGAGAGATATAACATTAACTAAATTATGTCACAATAATAACAACACAATATTGTTATTGGTCAAGACACTATGGTTGCAAAATAAGACAATTCTGAATACTGAAGTTGTTTCAAAGTAAAATCCTTATGCTTTTTGTACTGGTCAGGCGACCCATTACTTGAGTACTAAATGCTTTTACGATGTCCTGTTTAGGACTAGGTTTAATCTGATTTTAATTTGGATTTTGTTTCTTTTCATTTTATATGGCACTGACAATATCAAGCACTTAACAACTGCTTAATCAACGAGTATTCAAGGAAGGACATATTTTTAAAATATCCAAATAATACTTTTCTTTGCAGTTCCTGTTTTATGATGGCAGAGGAACTTTTAAACACTATAACAGACCAACTTAGGAACACATATGTGTGATTGTATTCCAGGTGTGCAGCAGTATGTGCAAACTAAACCACATAAGGTAACATAAGGTTAAGGCGTGGGGCCGACAGGAAAGGATACATCTGGCAAGGTTAATCATGTTTACAGAGATATTTCTTTTCACTCCACCTAGAAGACTGAGACGTGTAGAACACACTAAGTACCTATTAACTGGATGTTCTGAAGCCTATCAACTCATCAAAGGTGTCTCATCCAAGGCTGCGTGGTGAAGATCTGCATTTATTTTGAATGTCTCTACATAACACATTGTCAGATTTTCCGATAAACGGAAACCTTTTCACAACTGTTCACTACGGTTCATGTACCTTTAGTGACAGGAGCATCACTGTGCATACTGCACACCTGGGTAGTCCTGCCAGACCAACTACAAATTATTTCATTGCAAGAACCCATAAAAAATAGTTAGGGTGTTTTCCTTGTACAATTCTCAAACAAAACAGAACTGCAAGTCTGTACATATGTGCCATGTTCCTTTTTTCAAAGATAACATTTTCTGAGAAGGCCTTGTTGATAATAAACAAAATCACAAAACAAATAACATTTACTGTTTACTGTAAAGAAACCACTATTTCGTCATATTCGTGTGATAGTTAGGGTTTAGCATTGTTTTTCAAGAAACAAAACACGCAAGAACGGAGTAATAAAAAATTACCTATTCGTCTTTCATTGTATGCTGGTATTAAATAATGATTTTCATTTTCAGATGAAAGCTAACTAATTAAGCATTAACAAATATATCATCAAAACGTAACCAAGAAGGTATTTATATTATTCTTTTAAATTTATAAATGTTATGTTCTTGTTCTTTTAAAATTCAAAATCATCCTATAAATTTAATAAATAAGAGCAACAATCATCAAAATATCCTAGATTTTATGTGAAACTAAAGCTGAAAATATTTATTGTGTATGTTATTGATATATACCTGATCACATTCAGGAAAGCATGAATGTTATTTTGAAACAACATTTATCACGTCCATTTTCGCGCACCTGTTGTTGAAGGTGGTCATTGCGATATCTCCAGACATAGAATCTATTGAGTCGGACATAGTTATCATTCATCAATGAACTGGCTGCAAAAAATAAGGATAATTGTACGGATGGTATACAGCTGCATACAGATATTGTTAAGATATTTTTGTTGCTTTTTACTGATGATGTAGTCCTCTTCTCTAGTACGATAAAAGTTTTACAGAATTTGATAGATCAACTGGAGTTGTACTGTTCTAATTGTAAACTCAAGTGAACACTGAGAAAACGAAAGTGTTAGTTTTTAAAAAGGGAAATAAACTATCAAATAGGGAAAATGGTTCTTCAACCGTAACTATTTGTCACTTCTTATAAATAGCTGGGGGTAACTTTCACATGCAGATTAACGTGGAATTACCACACCGGTAATGCAGCAATGCAGGCAAAAAAGATACTAATGGGAATCTTACATAGTTTAAAAACTTTCACTGATCTTTCCTATCAAACCTTTTTTTAAATATTTGATACAAAAATTAATCCAATTCTTTTATATGGAGCAGAGGTCTGGGGTCATACTGAATACAGAACTATTGAACTGGTCCATCTATATGCTTGTAAACGATTCCTTGGCGTAAAAAGCTGTACATCGAGTGTTATGGTATGTGGTGAATGTGGACGTGTACCAATTTACATATTTAAACATATTAGAGTTATCAAGTATTGGTTCAAGATTCTAAAAATGCCCATTGATAGATTACTTAGAAAATGTTACGATATGATGTAATTGTATGAAAAACATGAAATCCGCAATTCGGTATATGATGTAAAGTCGTTATTAAATGAATGCGGCTATGGGTATGTTTGGCATAATCAATGTGTACCTAATAATCCAGATTCGTTTTTAGTATCTATACGCCAAAGACTTAAGGATAATTACTTACAAAAATGGTCATCGCATGTTTTAAGTTCAGAAAAATGCAATTATTACAAGCTTTTTAAACAACTATTTCCCCAGAATACTATTTGTTTAATATCAATTTTAAAAGGTTTAGAATAAGTTTAGCACAATTTAGATGCAGCTCTCATAGACACAGAAACAGAGCCAGAGAATTGGGAAAATGTGAGCAATGTGGTTTAAATGTGATTGAAGATGAGTTTCATTTTCTGTTAGTTTTTCCAAAATACGACCACCTAAGAAGAATATATATTGATCTGCCTTTTTATGAACATCCCACTCAACAAATATTTATATCGATCATGTCAACAACTGATAAAGATACTCTAAAATCTATCAATGTTCATGCCGAGTTAATTAGAATATGACCTGTTAAACGGATCTGTAACCACTCCCGAAAACAGAATTGTACAATGGGCCTGAGGCCTTTCAGTATGAAATAAAACTTATCCTTAATAATATGCCAATTATATCGTCAAAGTCACATTGTTATTTCATATAAGCAAAAACTACTGATACCATGTACTGATTTGTGTTTTTTTCTGGGTGTGACAGACGAAACATTTCCAAATTTACTGTAAATATTTCATAACGAAGGATTATCAGAAGACTACCCCTGTCTGTGACATCACATCGTGTGACCATTGCACTTCCTGAAAAATTGCAGATTTCGCGATCTTTATTTTCGTTTCTCTTTCGTCATATTAAACTGAAAATGACAAATGAAATACTCGTCGAATTTGAAGATCGTCCACTTTCGCAAAGGTATATATATGTATATGAAGTCAATGCAAACTTTGTTGATATCAAAAAAGCAATATTTTATGCTGAGGTCGGGCGAAGCGCGCCATGTTTTCGTACGTCTGCTAGTATTACGACAAGGGATTTGAATGTTTGAATATAAAAAAAATATTCATCAAAACACTTGAAATTAGGTTTGGCGAATATTTATAAGTCGATTATTGTATCTTCCAAATTTTATTACATGACACGTCAGATTAACCCTGATATTCTCATTTACGCAACTGACATGATGACCTCGAAAATTAAGTTTGGATAATAACTTTACTGAAATGATTCATAATTTACCATCGCGCTATTGTTTGCCGATAACAAGATACGAATTTATACTCAGTTAAATTTAAAATATCAGATGTGATTGTTTGAATCAATTTGCACAAGTTAAACGATTTAAACAGGTTCCTAATACGAAGTGCATCTCACCTACAATAAAATAATTCAGGTAAGTTCAAGAAAATTTACAAATTTTATGTTCACTTTTGTCTTAACCTCTGTATGTTTGAAAATGTCAGGATATTTTTATATGACAATGTGTAATTTTCTCTCAGGTATTAATGTGCAAAATATTGGTTCAAATGTCCCTTGTTTAATGAAGCACCGACCGTTTGAAATCACCCACCCTCTTGACAGCGCCTTATACTAAAATTAATCCAGCAGGCAGGGCTAAGAAGTGTGAAAATATTTCAGCAGCCCATAGTTCACGACCAATCGAAAGATAAAAACAGCACAATTGACGATGTATACCTTTCCCTTTCACAATGGACTGGTGAGAGTCATTCGTCAAACTCGCCCCTTTCCGTAACCTATTCGGCTTGTCCCGGAATAACACGAGAATGGATGAGACCACAACCGTCTATTCAGTCAGACGCAAGGCGACCTTCTCCTAAGCGTGTACTCTTAACAGCTATTTGTTCAATCGACAAACATGGCGGGAGACTCGGGAAAGATGAAAATGTACTGGTATCCCACCTACCGGTCTGTGCGAACAATATGGCTTATCAAAGGTAAGTGCTTGTACGTTAAAGTACGTTATCTTCAAATAATGACAAGGTACAACCTCCTTTCAAAACGGCACAAGTTTCCAAACGAATCATCAATTCTGCTGAATCATTATCATGAAACGATTGCTTCGTGTGATATAGCGAGGAGGGAGGGGGGAGGAGGGGGAGTTACTTCCCCTACTGCTGCCGTCTGTTTAGGCAGGTGCGAGCTAGGTGTGTACTGTTATAAACAGCAACTTGCCAGAACGGGCTACACTGGAAAGCTGATAGTTTACTGGTATCGTGTTCAACTCTTTTTTCAAAATCCTTGATCCGCGCCCGAACAATCAGTACTAACAAAAAAAAACATACAATGGCACGCGTGTTTCAAAGGAAACAGCAAATCTGCTAAATCACGATTTTTTGCATACCAGCTGGCTGTCAGGGGTGTATATGAGTGAGTGAGTGAGTGAGTTTGGTTTAACGCCGCTTTTAACAGTATTCCAGTTATATCACGGCGTGTCAGCTTAATGTGGGAGAAACGCCCGAAGTGATGCAGGTCTCAGACGTTTAGCACTTCGGTGAAACCCACGAGCACGGGTACGTTGCTGACAAACCTAGAAACATAATCGGGGCGAACCGGGATTCGAACCCACAATCAGGGTGTATATGAAGGTAGGATGCTTCAATAAGTCTTCTGTACACTGCCGCCTCCATGGTTTAGTGGATACAGCGTCCTCCCAGAAGGCGGAAGTTCCTTGGTTCGATTTCCTGTCCTCCTAAATACAGCCTTACTTGAACTTCAAGGTCAAGTTTAGTGACACAGTAGCAGAGACAAATAAACTTTCTTGTTTCATCTGTGTGAACACTTAGGAACGTGACAATGAATACCTGAGCACGTGCAGCTTGTATTGTAAGAAACGTGATTCACGGATATTGAACACCTGTGACAAACAATAAACCTTGTAAGTAATTGTTGTTTCCCTGCCTGGTGTTCGGCTTAAGGGACCGTTCAGCGTGTCAGCAATCTTGCTGTAATTTTCCCAACCTTGCGCGAGGTGGGTGGTTATCAAGTGTACGATTTTGATTTGGTGCGTTAAACACATCTAGCATACTAATACCCCGTTCACATGCGCCTACATATGTGTGTATATGTGCATACTAGTGTAGAAATACATACGTGAGTATGCTTGTCATGTGAACGCGTTTACTCATGTGTGTATATTTGCATCATGTCTGGAGCAGGTGCAAATATAGATGTTAATTTGCACTGTGTGTATATGTTGCAATGTGAACGTTCATGTAAACTTTGGAGGATGATTTTATGAATTTCTGTTCTTTTGCAAACACCAAACAAATTGTCAACAGTCGCCAACTTTTATGCGTATATACAGAGTTGAGCGGACGGTGTTTTCTTTTGATTTCAATGAGTCAAAACGTTGTGTACAAATTAAATCAAACACATGTTGCTTCACGCGAAAATTTCGGTTAAGTAACTCTCTTCTCATTCAACTTTGATTGAAAATGATAGTAAATGAACATATAAACATGTATGTATAGTTACACATGTGTAAAATTAATTACGTCAGTAAATGTTGTGCATGTAAACAGGGTATTAGTGGGGGTATTCATGTCACACTGCGGCATGGCATCTCAGTGGGCTAGCTAGCACTATAAGATCGACTAGAACAAGCAGACACACACATACACACACACACACACACACACACACACACACGCACACATATATGCATGCACGTTGTTATATAATCTTGGACTTTACACCCATTATATGTCACCACACTTTCAAAACTGATAACGGTTCGCGTTTCAAAACAAACAAACCAATCGTGCTGAATCATGCCGTGCACGGAACAAGAGCAAATATGCGAGTCGTGTTTGTATTGGCTTTGATTGATGCGGATTCCGTGTTACTTCCACTACACTTATTCTGCACACGGAGCAGTGCAGAGTACAAATACACTTCAGCCGCCAGCTTCAGAAATTCATATGAAACTATATATTTGGCATCTAAAACTGCGAAACGCGGGTGTCGGATGTGAGATTGAACCATAGTCTAAGCACTCTATCCATAGAGTAAATACAACTACGGTCAACGCCCTCACACGCAACGGGCACTCTCAGCGGTATGCATTGAATTAAACATATACTCTTAAAATGGCTTGGTCTGTGTACATTCATAAAGTGGAGGGTCGACCTACTCCTTAGGCGCTTGACTTCAAGAGCAACCAGCACGAAGGGAGCACATTGCGAAATTTTGCCGGATTTTTCAATAAATGTGCAAGTCTTTTCACCAGGCTTACAAATACGAACTGTGGTTACTTCATGCCCTGAACTTTACATGACTCGACCAATAACTACCTTTTTACATCCTTTAGGAATAATGTCTTATAATAAATTTTCGGTACTGTGTTTCGTTTGTTCATATAGCCAAATATGGTTATATTTAGTTTCCTTGAAAAGGAATTAGTCGGTAAGATGTCGGTGATTCATTAAAGGTGTGGTCGTACTTTCATCATGTTACCCTTATTTATTTGAACGAGAAGATGGAAGAATTGCTTTAGCCAAATTAAGGCGACCTTGGCCTTCACGCACATCCTCGATTGTCCAGTGTAGCCTGGATCTATTTCTCAGGTTTATTAACACATTGATACGCTGTATATTCGAGGATGTGACGACAAATGCCGAGACTACAGTCGTGTTTTTTTACATACAAAATATGAATCTTTATTAATTGTAGAACTGAACGCAGAGAAAGACTTTGATTTGGTCCGCTTCTGTCCCGGGGACGACGCGGCTGCTGATGTCGCCTACCGCAGGGACGTCCACCCCCACTGCACCATCCCTGCTCTAACTGGTGCAGGAAATATGCCCATCCTGGAGTCTGGAGCCATCTGCTTGTACCTGGCCGATAGATACGGCAAACTCGTGCCTGACCCCAAGGACAGGGCAGATTACTACAGGTACTTGTCATACTGCATCAAGTGAGTGAGTGCCATCATATTGCTGGGAAATTGCTACAAGGGGCGTAAAACTCAACACACTCACTCACGTCGTTATACTGCCCCACTTTAGAAGGATGCCCCATGGTCGTAAAAATGTTTTAAACTCTCCGATACGATAGCTCTGAGAGTGAAAATATGTCGACACCTATACTGGAGGTCGCGTCAAGTGAACTTTCAGCTCAGTCAGTCATCGTCGAGGTTTCAAGATTATGAGCGAGTCTATCTGATAACTCTTTCACGAAAACGGACCAGTTGCGGATGTAAATAATTAAAGCCAAGCCATTATATTGTATGGAGGTGTCGTCAAATCTTCACACAGAGAGGTATCGAATCGGAGTAAAACATCTGATTTTAGTGACGCCCCTGTATGCCCGTTGTGTTTCAGCTTCATCCTCTACGTCACGTCCACCATCGACGGGATCCTGGACTTCTTCTACGAACTGTGGAACCTTAACATGACGTTCACCGAGGACAAGGTCAAGAAGATGAGAGATAGGTTCAACGCTTGCCTAGACTTTATCACCAGGAGGTTGGAGGGCAGGCAGTTCATCTGTGGAGACAAGTAATACTAATATTCCTTTTGTATGTAAGGTGAGGTGAGGGTTTAACGTCGCTTTCAAGGTTATTGCACTTATATAGCGACGTGCATGCACGTGTGTGTGTGTGTGTGTGTGTGTGTGTGTGTGTGTGTGTGTGTGTGTGTGTGTGTGTGTGTGTGCCTGTGTGTGTCTGTGTGTGTCTGTGTGTGTGTGTGTGTCAGTGTGTGTGCCTGTGTGTGTGTCTGTGTGTGTGTCTGTGTGTGTGTCTGTTTGTCTGTGTCTGTGTCTGTGTCTGCGTGTACTAGTCCGGACCAATGCCGATTTTATAATGCTAGTCCACTGAGTTATCATGCCGCAGTTTAACATGAAAACCCCACTCACACACAGTATACTAACTCCGAGCCGACCAGTCCTTATTTTAGCCCCTTAATGCCGAGCTCCGGGCAAGGTAACAACAAGTACTATCTTTGAACGTCTTTTGGTATGACGCGGCCGGGGATCGAAACCCTGATCTTCCGCTCTCCGGGCAGACGCTCTACCACTAGACAACGGAGGCGAGCTATTCCTTTTGTAGCCAATGTAAAGATATTTCAAAGCGCTGTGAGTTGAGTTCAGCAAAATTGTGGCGCGAGGGCTGCGAACGATACAAATCCCCGACTAACTACCTATCGATCCATAAAATATGGACTATATGGTTCCTTCACGCCCTTGTACCTGCACAAGTGATACAGGAGCCCATGCCTGTCTTTCGAGCCGACTGTAGTTGTCACTTTTTTCATGCTCGATTATTTACTGGCGTCTTGATATAGCTGGAACATTGCTGACTTTGGCGTGAAACAACATTCACTCACTTCACACTCAAGATTTGCTCCATATTTTGACGTATTTTTAATTGGATTATTTATCCCAGGTTCACTGCAGCTGACTGCGTCCTTGGCTACGTCACTTTCTACGCAACGGTGTTGAAGGACGGAGAGTTGCTTGCCAACCATCCCACCATCCGGGAGTACCGCGACCGTCTCCAAGCGATGCCAAGCTACCAAGCCACTGTCAATATGAAGTAGTTCCTCAAGCCACCCATGCCTAGTGACCAACCATTTTGGTTTTACAGTAAACTACGGTTATAACGAACTCAAAGAGACTACTAATTTGAGTTCGTTATAACCGTAGTTCGTTATAAGCACATATACAGCATGACTACAGCAAGTAGTCGTGACCAAAAAGTAAGGTCGTTATATCCGTCATTTCGTTATAAGCGTGTTCGTTATAACCATAGTTTACTGTATTAGACACTACAACAAAATTCAATCGCTTTGTCAAGTCATACAATATGTTTCTCTAAACACAGAAACCAAACAATGTTTAGAACATATTTCTGTGTATACAATATCCACAATATAAAGTCTAGGCCTTAATTATTTACATCCGGAACTGGTCCGTTTTCGTGATAGTGTATACATGTATTTTGATTCCCGTGATTAATATATGTGATATAGATTCAGTGCATAATGTAGACAAAAAAATTAACTCTTGTTTTGTGTTGTGTGTGACTGGAAAAATACGAGTTGGGGGATCTTCTTATTGTGACTGAACACAACGTTTCTCGGTGTGACTAACTTCTTTCCCAGTTCATTGACATGAAACATGAAGGGAGAATATAGACACATATACGAGTGGGTGAATGGTCGTTTACGTCATATAGCAATGTCGTCAGTATATATCACAGCGGCCTGTAAGTAATCAAGTCTGGAACAGAGAAACCTGTGGCACATAATCAGTCAGGTCAGACATTGTAACCATCCGATCCTCAGTAGTTACCTTTTGCGACAAGAACTGAATACTGGTGACCTGGAAACGGAAACTATTGTTAAAACAGAAAAAGACTTTCTGCAAGGAAGAATGAATGAATAAGTGCATTGGGTTTAATTAGGGATGCTGGCGAAATGGGGCGGCTGTATGGAAAAGTGGAGCATTTTGGATGAAGAAAGTGTAGCAGGGGACGATCGTCAAATGATTCCGGATATACAAATGAGCATGTCAGGAAATAATCAACCATAATTGTCGTAAAATCGAGTGCGCATGACCGTCTTTCAACATTTGACAAGGTACATTTTCATATCACCATTCGTAGGAATGTGTTCATCACAGAAGAAACAGGCACATAGACATGTTGGTGAAACCCGGAAACATTAGTATGGTGGTTGCATACTTGTGATCATAATTTGGGATCCAAACCCACGACTTGCCGATCCTGGTACAGTACAGCTAAGTAGTTCTGTACAGGGAATGCAGCGGCACATAAACTGTGACTGCTTGACCTGTAACCTGTTAAGTTTCGAAAACTCCAGGTAAGAGGACTCGGCGTTGTTTCTCCCGCCTATCTTCCTTCCCCCGTGAGGGGCACGGATGGAACAATTAGGCGCAAATGTCACTGTGGAGAGTTGCGTCTCTTGAGTGTGCCAGACACCTATGACAGTGTGCTCGAATCCTTTTTTACACTGATTATGTTTCTTGGTTCTTACTTAAGCTAAAAAATTTATCCCAAATCATGAACTAAAAGAAACGTATGCACCCGTCACAAAATCACCATCTGAAACCACCACAAAACGTCCCACTTTGCTAGTCACCACTCAATCCATAAATTGCCAATCAGATCTTACATGGATGAAAACCGATACTCCACAGTTGTATCCACCTGAACAATCAACACAAACGCCAGAGACAGTTCCCAACACGTCTCAAATTCAACCATCTTGTGATCAGGACTCATCTCACACAGTTTCAGTGATGTTGTCTATCCTATTCAGGTTTTTTTCTGACGTTTTAAAAGAAATTGCTGATGAATGTATACCCAGATCCTCTACAAATCCACATATACGAAAACCATGGTTTAACACCGATTGTAAACAAGCTAGGAAAGTTAGGAAAAAGACAGTATTTTCGTCATCATCCAACTGTCCTCAATTTAAATAAATTTGAAATTTGAAATGCAAAGGCTCGTCGTACGTTCAAACAAAATAAACGCCAATCTTGGCGGAACTATGTTTCTAAACCAAATTCACGTACACCAATGTCTAAGGTTTGAAATGGTTCAAGGAATAAGAGGTAAAGGTTTCAAATCTAGTGTTCACCATCTTGAAGAGGGTGACACATTACTTACTGATAAATCTGATATAGCCAATAAATTAGGAGAAACTTTAGCTAAGCATTCTTCGACATCTAATTATGTACAAAAAAAATTAAGAAATGTAAAGACCAACTAGAAATAAAGTAAAATTGACTTTAACTCTGATAATGGTGAAGATTATAGTGATATTTTTTCCAATTCATGAGCTAAATACTGCTTTGGGGCAAGCTCATGATACTGCTACAGGTGCTGATAATATCTACCATCTGTTACTTAAACATTTACCTGAATCCTGTTTAGAAACACTATTAAATATATTTGATAATATCTGGACAACTGGTAATTTCCCTTCGTCATGGCAGAATGCTGTTATCATTCCAATTCCAGAACCTGGTCGGGATCACACTGATCCTTCAAATTATAGGCCAATATCGCTTACTAGCTGTGTTTGTAAGACAATGGAAAGAATGGTCAATAAAAGATTAATATGGTACTTAGAAACAAATAATCTGACAACAAATATTCAATGTGATTTCAGGAAAAATAGAAGTACTTTTCACCATTTAGTTAGATTAGAATTATTTGTTAAAAATGTTAACATCAATAAACACCACACCGTAACTATATTTTTCGATTTAGAAAAAGCATACGATACGACCTGAAAACATGGAATTTTAAAGGATCTTCATGAGATGGGGTTGAGAGGCCGTTTGCCTTCTTTTATATCTCAGTTTTTAACAGATACGTGTAAGATCCACTTTGTCTGATTTTTACGATCAAGATCAAGGTGTCCCCAAAGGTAGCATCTTATCAGTAACGTTGTTTAGTATAAAGATTAATAGTTTAGCTAAGGTTTTGAATGACTCCATTGATGTGTCGTTATTTGTTGACGATTTTAATATATCATGTCGAGGCAGAAATATGCACACGATTGAAAGACAGTTGCCACTTTGTCAAAATAGAATCAATGTTTGGGCAGAGCAGAACGGCTTTAAGTTTTCTAAATCTAAAACTAATTTTATCCATTTCTGTCGAAAATATAAACCACATAGGGATCCAGAATTACATCTAGCTGGAACTCCAATTAAAGTCGTAAAAGAAGCTAAATTTTTAGGAATAATTTTTTTATCATTACCTTTCTTTCTTACCCACATTGATATATTTGAAAGTGAAATGTCTGAAGGCACTAGATTTATTAAATGTCGTTTCTAATTTCAAGTGGGGAGGAGATCAGACGACCCTCCTTCACTTATATAGATCACTTGTCCGTTCTAAACTCGACAATGGCTCCATCATCTATATGGTGGAGCCTGTAAAAGCAATCTTAAACTTTTAGATTCCATCCACCATCAAGGTCTAAGATTCTGTCTTGGATCTTTTAGAACATCTCCTATTGACAGTTTGTACATTGAGGCTGATGAACCTTTTCAATACAAAGTCATCCCTTATTCCACCACTCAGAATCAGAATTAAACCTTTTATTTCTGCTGCAAAAATCGAAGTCGAAAATATATCTCCTTTCCGCCTGATTTCTTTTCCTCCTTGGCAGCTGGTTAAGCCACAGGTGAATCTTACATTAACTAAACTAAAGAAATCTGACACTAATCAACTACAATATCACCAATAATATTACAGTGAAGGTGTGAATATAATACTTAGAAAGTAATATTTACAGATGGATCCAAGGATGGAGGTGCTGTTGCCAGCGCAACCATCATTGGATCCAGAAACATATCAACCAGATTTCCAGATGACTCTTCAATTTTTACAGCAGAATCGAAGGCTATATTAACTGCTCTAAACTATATAAATAGCCAGTTGACACATAAGGAATTTATTTTCAGACTCTTTGTCCTGTCTTCAAACAATAAAAAATGTGTCATGTCAACATCCAATTTTACTCGAAATAATCGAACTGCAAAATAATCTTGCAACTGGCCAATACGACATCGTCTTTTGTTGGTTACCCAGCCATGTTGGTGTCGTTGGTAACGTTTCTCATTTTTAAGTTCTCATTTTATTATTGGTTAAAGGAAATTAAATTGTTTCATAAATTTTGATTGCTGTATTTTGTAAATAGATGAATAAACTTTTACAATTGGTAGTATAAATCAGTAGCTGAGATTGTTAGTGGCTATATCCTTGAAGGGGATTAAAGTAGTGTAAAATTATTGTCCCCCTGAGAGGGTATGTAAGACCACGTCTTATGATACAAGCGATTTTGGGGAGACGGTGACGAATAATTGATCACACGCAAAGCCATAAACATTGTCACCAACCTCTGTAGCCGCAAGATACCACAGATACCACAGCCCCCCTGTCAACTACCAGATAAGAGGTGGAAAGGGTTAAATGTGAATCCATTAGAGTGAGGATGGCACATGAAAGATAGACGTTGCTTATTCAGTCAGATCAGCCTGCAGCACCTTCTGCACTCCTTGATATCATCTACTGTAATTTCAAAATTGAATGCAACACACGAAGATGCACTTGCCGGAAATATAGTCTCACTTGCAGTGCCGTGTGCGGGGAATACCATGGTACAAGCTGTACCAATAAACTGTTACCAGACTTCTCAGGGGATGACAAACCTGTTGAGACTTTCGAGGTACATGTAAATAATGACCCTGCAACGACAAGCTACAGCATTCACTGCCACATTTTTTCCACTGTTCATCGCGTAATAATTTTCATGAATCACACAATTACGTAACGGAATGAGCAGTGGATAAAAGGTTTCAGATTTATCTCCAAATATTGGTATTTGGTGGTGATATTGAATTTCCGCAAATGAACTACAAGAGAAATAACTCATCGACTTCTTGTGAAACAACTGGTTTGGGTTAATTCTGAGAGGACCTCATATAGATCATACTTGTTTCAAACAAGTATTCCAACAAGTATTTAATTGCCGTAAAAGGCGAGTATGCTTGTCGTAAGAGGCGACTAACGGGATCGGGTTGTTAGGCTCGTTGACTTGGTTGATGCTTGTCATCATATCCCAATTGCGTGGATCGATGCTCATGATATCAATGACTGGATTGTCTGGTCCATACTCGATTATTTACAGACCGTCGTCATATACCTGGCATATTGCTGAGTTAGGCGTTAAACAACAAACAAACAAACAAATCCAACAAGTATTTACATGAAGGAAAACGAAACTTGTTATAGCGTTTATTGTCATGTTGATAAGTAGATTCAGACAATAACAATCAACATTGATATCTACACTTGCCGAAACATGGCATTTGAGAGATACATATTGCTTTTTGGTGGTTATATTGGATTTATGCAAATGATTGACTATTCTATATGCATCCTTGGGTCTGTTTACCCCAATGTAGAAGTTCAAATCACTCAAATATGTCATCAGATGTATTGATATTCTACGTCTAGCCAACAAACTCTTGGCGGCCATCTTGATAGTTTGGGCCACCGGGTGACGGTGACGGAGTTTCTATCTAAAAGTGTTGACTATACTTCCGTGAGTTAGTGTACCAAGTCATGTGCCTATAAGTCCAAGCACACTGTTTTAGAGTTAAAAGATTCAACAGTGTAAACACACATTTAGGAAACTTGTCGGCCATCTGGAAATTGGCGGCCATCTTAAATTTTTGCAGATTTGTCAATAGTCGAAAACGTTCAGCAGTTGTGTTTATATTTTTAGAAACACAATATGGCTATTTCGCAATACAACACATGTTTTTTTCATCAAAACATTGAACTTCATCTGAAATATGGAACATAAATTGATAATTGGTGGCCATATTGGATTATGCAAATTAGACATATTTCCCAAACTGGGATTGCTTGGGACTTTTAGTATGTTGTTTTCGGGACCTTGTAGAAATGCATTGTGGTGAAATAAATTCTGTTGCAATTTGTTCCAAGTTGAGTGAAAAAATGGCCTAGTTTGGCTGGACTACAGCTCGTGTTATTCCGGGACAAGCGGAATAGCGACTCGTGCCCCTCTCATTACCATTTTTGCGAGATTGAAATTTTCTTAAGAAAATACAGTAAAAGTGCTTGACTTTTACGGACCAGTTTTCTTTCAATGCGATGTACTGTGACATTATAAAGTGGTACATAGGTATGTATTATTGTATCTTCCAAATTTTATAACATGACACGTCAGATTAACCCTGATATTCTCATTTCCGCAACTGACACGATGACGTTTTAATTCTGTCTAACCTTTGGATAATAACTGATATGATTCATAATTTACCATCGCGCTATTTTTGTCGATAACAAAATGCGAATTTATACTCAGTTAAGATTTAAATATCGGAGACGTGATTCTTAAAATTTGCACAAGTTTTACGATTTAAACTGGGTCCTTATATAAAACGCATCTCACCTTAAATTACGTAATTCAGGTACATTCAAGAAAAATAACAAATTTATGTCTGTTTTATCTTAACCTCTGTATGTTTGAAACTGTCAGGATATTATATGACAATGTGTAATTTTCTCTCAGGTATAAATGTGCAAAATATTGGTTCAAATGTCCCTTGTTTAATGAAGCACCGACCGTTTGAAATCACCCACCCTCTTTACAGTGCCTTATGCTTAAATTAATCCAGCAGCCCATAGTTCACGACAAATCGAAAGATAAAAACCGCACAATTGACGATGCATGAATTTTCCTTTCACAATGGACTGGTGAGAGTCATTCGTCAAACTCGCCCCTTTCCGTAACCTATTCGGCTTGTCCCGGAATAACACGAGTTGGTCACGAATCGGTGAGAGTGGGGAGTTTCCTCCCCTGACTACCACCCTCTATTCAGTCAGACGCAAGGCGACCTTCTCCTAGGCGTGTACTCCGAACAGCTATTTTTCAATCGACAAACATGGCGGGAGACTCGGGGAAGATGAAAATGTACTGGTATCCCACCTACCGGTCTGTGCGAACAATATGGCTTATCAAAGGTAAGTGCTTTTACGTTAAAGTACGTTATCTTCAAATAATGACAAGGTACAACCTCCTTTCAAAACGGCACAAGTTTCCAAACTGTTATTATCAGCAACTTGCCAGGACGGGCTACACTGGAAAGCTGATAGCTTACTGATAGCATATGCAACTCTTTTTTCAAAATCATTGATCCGCGCCTGTCAGGGGTGTATATGAAGCTACGATGCTTCAATTAGTCTTCTGTACACTGCCGCATCCATGGTTTAGTGGATACAGCGTCGTTCCAGACAGCGGAAGCTCCTTGGTTCGATTCCCTGTCCTCCTAAAAAGAGCTTACTTAAACGTCAAGGTCAAGTTTAGTGACACAGGGGCAGAGACTAATGGCCTTTCTTGTTTCATCTGTGTGAACACTTAGGAACGTGACAATGAATATGAATACCTGGGCACGTGCAGCTTCTTTTGTAAGACACGTGATTCACGGATATTGAACACCTGTGACAAACAATAAACCTTGTAAGTAATTGTTGTTTCCCTGCCTGCTGCTCGGCTTAAGGGGCCGTTCAGCGTGTCAGCAATCTTGCTGTAATTTTCCCAACCCTGCGCGAGGTGGGTGGTTATCAAGTGTACGATTTTGATTTGGTGCGTCAAACACATCCAGCATACTAAGTGGGGATATTCATATCACACTGCGGCATGGTATCTCAGTGGGCTAGCTGGCACTATAAGATCGGCTAGAACAAGCAAGCAAGCAAGCACACACACACACACACACACACACACACACACACACACACACACACACACACACACACACACACACATATATATATGCATGCACGTTGTTATATAATGTTGGACTTTACACCCATTAGATGTCACCACACTTTCAAAACTGATAACGGTTCGCGTTTCAAAACAAACCACCTATCATGCTGAATCATGCTGTGCGCTGAACAAGAGCAAATATGCGAGTCGTATTTGTATTGGTTCGGCTTTGATTCATGCGGATTCCGTACTCGTCCGTGTTACTTCCACTGCACTTATTCTGCACAGGGAGCAGTGCAGGGTACAAATAAACTTCAACCGCCAGTTTAAAAAATTCACATGAATCTATCTGGCCTTTAAAATTGGGAAACACGGGTGTCGGATCTGAGATCTTGACTGGTATTTCACTATAGTCTATGCACTCTATCCATAGAGTAAAATACAACTACGGTCTACGCCCTGACATGCAACGGGCACTCTCATCGGTATGCATTGAATTAAACATATACCCTTAAAATGGCTTGGTCTGTGTACATTCATAAAGTGGAGGATCGACCTACTCCTTTGGCGCTTGACTTCAAGAGCAACCAGCACGAAATGGGCACATTGCAAAATTTTGGCGGATTTCACCAGGCTTACAAATGTGACCTGTGGTTGCTTCATGCCCTGAACTTTACATGACTCGACCAATAACTACCATTTTACATCTTTTCAATATTTGTTCGGGAAACTTGTTCCGAGAGTACAAAAGCACGCGTTTTGGTATTACACAATGTGTAATACACCTGTATGTTTATTAAAGGGGTGATCTCTTCACGGGCAAGTAATAAAATAGATTTTCGGTACTGTTTGTTCATATAGCCAAACATGGTTATATTTAGTCTCCTTGAAAAGGAAATAGTCGGTGATTCATTAAAGGTGTGGTCGTACTTTCATCATGTTACTCTTATTTATTTGCACGAGAAGATGGAAGAATTCCTTTAGCCAAATTAAGGCGACCTTGGCCATCACTCACATCCTCGATTGTCCAGTGTATCTTATTTCCATTCCATTATGAGAAATAGCCTGGATCTATTTGTCAGGTATATTAATACTCTGATACGCTGTATATTCGAGAATGTTACGACAGATGCCGAGACTACAAACGTTTTTGTCACATACAAAATATGAATCTTTATTAATTGTAGAACTAAACGCAGAGAAAGACTTTGATTTGGTCCGCTTCAGTCCCGGGGACGATGCCGCTGCTGATGTCGCCTACCGCAGGGACGTCCACCCCCACTGCACCATCCCTGCTCTAGTTGGTGCAGGAAATATGCCCATCCTGGAGTCTGGAGCCATCTGCTTGTACCTGGCCGATAGATACGGCAAACTCGTGCCTGACCCCAAGGACAGGGCAGATTACTACAGGTACTTGTCATACTGCATCAAGTGAGTGAGTGCCATCACATTGCTGGGAAATTGCTACAAGGGGCGTAAAACTCAACACACTCACTCACGTCGTTATACTGCCCCACTTTAGAAGGATGCCCCATTGTCATAAAAATGTTTTAAACTCTCCGATACGATACCTCTGAGAGTGTAAAATCTGTCGACACCTATACTGGAGGTCGCGTCAAGTAAACTTTCAACTCAGTCAGTCATCATCGAGGTTTCAAGATTATTTGTATGAGCGAGCCTATCTGATAACTCTTTCACGAAAACGGACCAGTTCCGGGTGTAAATAATTAAAGCCAAGCCATTATATTGTATGGAGGTGTCGTCACATCTTCACACAGAGAGGTATCGAATCGGAGTAAAATATCTGATTTTAGTGACGCCCCTGTATGCCCGTTGTGTTTCAGCTTCATCCTCTACGTCACGTCCACCATCGACGGGATCCTGGACTTCTTCTACGAACTGTGGGACCTCAACATGACGTTCACCGAAGACAAGGTCAAGAAGATGAGAGATAGGTTCAACGCTTGCCTAGACTTTATCACCAGGAGGTTGGAGGGCAGGCAGTTCATCTGTGGAGACAAGTAATACTAATATTCCTTTTGTATGTAAGGTGAGGTGAGGGTTTAACGTCGCTTTCAAGGTCATTGCACTTATATAGCGACGTGCATGCACGTGTGTGTGTGGGGGGGTGGGTGTGTGGGTGGGTGTGTGTGTGTGTGTGCGTGCGTGTGTGCGTGCGTGTGTGCGTGTGCGTGTTTGAGTGTGTGGGTGTGTGTGGGTGTGTGTGTGTGTGTGTGTGTGTGTGTGCCGCAGTTTAACATGAATACCCCACTCAGACACAGTATACTGACTCCAAGCCGGCCAGTCCTTGTTTTAGCTCCTTAATGCCGAGCACCGGGCAGGGTAACAACAAGTACCATCATTTTAACGTCTTTTGGTACGACGCGGCCGGGAATAGAACCCCTGATCTTCCACTCACCGAGCAGACGTTCTACAACTACATTCACTCACTTCACACTCAGGATTTGCACCATATTTGAAGTATTTTAATTGGATTATTTATCCTAGGTTCACTGCAGCTGACTGCGTCCTTGGCTACGTCACCTATTACGCAACGGTGTTGAAGGACGGAGAGTTGCTTGCCAACCATCCCACCATCCGGGAGTACCGCGACCGCCTCCAAGCGATGCCAAGCTACCAAGCCACTGTCAATATGAAGTAGTTCCTCAAGCCACCCGTGCCTTGTGACCAACCATTTTAGCTTTACTAGACACAACAACAACATTCAGTCACTTTGTCAAGACATACCATATGTTTCTCTAAACACAGAAACCAAACAATGTTTAGAAGACACTTCTGTGTATGCAATATCCACAATATAAAGTCTAGGCCTTAATTATTTACATCTGGAACTAGTCCGTTTTTCGTGATAGTGTTACATGCATTTTATTTATGAATTGATTCCCGTGATTCATATATGTGATACAGATTTAGTGCATAATGTAGACACACACAAATAAACTCTTGTTTTGTATTGTGTGTGACTGGTGACCTAGAAACGGAAACTATTGTTAAAGACTTTCTGCAAGGAAGAATGAATGAATAAGTGCATTGGGTTTAATTAGGGATGCTGGCGAAATGGGGCGGTTGTATGGAAAAGTGGAGCATTTTGGATGAAGAAAGTGTAGCAGGGGACGATCGTCGATTGATTCGGAATAAACAAATGAGCATGTCAGGAAATAATCAACCATAATTGCTGTAAGAACGAGTGCGCATGACCGTCTTTCAACATTTGACAAGGTACATTTTCATATTACCATTCGTAGGAATGTGTTCATCACAGAAGAAACAGGCACATAGACATGTTGGTGAAACCCGGAAACATTAGTATGGTGGTTGCATACTTGTGATCATAATTTGGGATCCGAACCCACGACCTGCCGATCCTGGTACAGCTACGTAGTTCTGTACAGGGAATATGGGGTGCGTAAACGATGACCGCTCGACCTGTTACCAATTTTCGCAAATCTATTTGTCATATATTATTTTTACTGTAAAGTTTCGAAACTCTCTCGTTGTGTGTGTGTGTGGGGGGGGGGGGGGGGGGGGGGGGGGGGGCACGGATGAACCATTTAGGCGCAAGTGGCACCGCAATTCTCTGTAGAGAGTTGCGTCCCTTGGATGTGCCAGTCAGTGCTCGAATCCCTGTTCACACTCACTATGTTTCCTGGTTCTTCAGCACCATACCAGTGAGTTTTACGAAAGTGGTGAGCGCGGACGACTTGCATTACCTCAGTTTTATCCCACGTCAAGCTGAAACGCCATGAAATAACTGACATTTTGTTCAAGCGGCGTGAAACCCACTCATACTTTCCCTCGGAAAACCTAACGCCGGAGCAAGCTGTATTCTATTCATACACACGACACAAAGTGACTATCTGATGTTTGTCGAACTTAAAGTCATGTATTTCAACCTACCGAGGGACATCAACAACAATGGTAAATATTATGCCGAAAATTGTCCAACATTCTTGCATCTCTACATCCTAGAATCTGTTGTGACTGGTCCATCCACTACACCACGGTGGCGGTCATGGGGATGTAACCTTGAACACAACAGCTCTGATTATCTATAGAAGATTTTGCTTGTTTGTTTGTTGTTTAACGCCGCACTCAGCAATATTCCATCTGTATGACAACAGTCTGGCAATAATTGAGCCCGGACCAGACAATCCAGTGATTGACATCATGAGCATCGATCTACGCAACTGGGATACGAGCCTAACCACCCGATCCCGTTAGTCGCCTAGCTCTTACGACAAGCAAAGTCGCCTTTTACGGCAAGCATGGCCAGGCTATATAGAAGTAGCGTATTTGACAGTGTGATGTCACTGTGCAATGTCTAGCAACGCTTCTTCTAGTTTCTGTTCTACTACATCGGATAACCATGCAGCGTGAGTAGGTAGATAACACATGTCTAGTGTTGACCGAGAGGGGCATATTAAATTTCCCTTGACTTTGTCCAGTTTCAGCAGATGATAATCCAGTGGTATTTTACTTGCATGTTGGTCTGTATTGCCAATGTGTTATCCCACCTCTAGTGCCTCAACTGAGCTATACTAAAGGCGACCCTGTGTGGGTAATTACGACGCATTCAATCTCATGAAAATCAGATCTTAGTTCTCGCTACCGCTAAACAAACGAGAACACAGATCTGAATTTAATGAGATTGCGACACTCTGCACACACAGTGTTGTTATACGGAATGCTTTTCTATTTACAATACAAATGGTTTACGGCCACATGAACTGTATTCCTATGGTCAGCTGGACATTCTGCTCCAGTTGGAAACTCGGTTGCTGGTAGCGTTTCGTCTTTAATGAAATCACTGCAGTTTAATATACATGGGAAATACTAATCGTGGCACTCGGGTCTAATCGCTTTTTTCCGCTGCCTGCCGTTGATACAGGCAAGTGCATGTCGTTGAATTGAGGCCTGAACAGGATTCTTGAGCCGAGCAACCTCCGATATCAAATGGATTGAGCCGAGCCGAGTGGTGATCAGATGGATACAGGGAGGTAACTCCTGTCACTTTGTCGTATATTTAACGACTATGCATGGTATGGGATTCTCGAGCCGAGCGAGTGGATGTTGCTTTCTCGCCATCGTTTTCGACAGTTGATATTGTATACAATGTGGTACATAATGATACGTGGGAAATGCCCTACTGTTTAGTTAGTATGCGGATAATATACATAAAACAGCGAGATTTGTATTGCGGATAGCTTCGGCAGTTTCCGCTGTCACAAACCGGTGATGAGCTGCAGTTGTTACCTCATGAAAAAAGATCCGACAACATTGTCCACGCGCGAATCTATTTCCTATTTCACCTTTATAATTTGGATAATTACTACTTTGCGAGTTGCGATTTGAAATTTGTAACTTGCAAATTGTGAAAAATAGTTTGATGATTTTATTTTGTGTATTGTACTTAGACTGCACATGCATAGTATACATAAATATATGCACAAAGAAAAAAGTTAAGCACACCCCTCTTTCTGAAATGTGACAAATGGCAAAAATCATGGCATGGGTTTACTGACCACAGGAGCTGGGCGATACCAATGTCATCGGATAGAACAAACATTTGACAACAAATAAAAAAGATATTGGTGGGTTGTGATAGACATTTACTGACAAAAACATCATGGTAACACAGGTACTGTTTTTGACCTTAGAAAATACCTTTAAAAAAGTATGGAGCTGCATGATTAAGTAAACGAGTTACGTTTAATGTTTCATGTGAAAATGTTCCTAAAAGTCTCTACTTGACATGACACGTGAAACAGATGAGTAGCGGGTATAACCGCCACGTGCCCGGATGACGCATTCCACCCCACGTCTCATGCCTCCAGTCAGACGTTGGATCTGTTGATGGGTCCTGATGCAATGCTGCTTCCATTTGGCGTAAATTTTGTATAGGAGGATCTCGTGCCTGTGTGCGCCGCCCCAGAATATCCCAAACATATTCATGGGGATTCAAATCTGGGCTCATTGCTGGTCAGGGTGGAGTCGTAATTGCATTGGCCTTCATGTAATCCACGACTGCATGCGAACGATGAAGCCTGGCATTGTCATCCAAGTACTGAGGTAGAGTAGCAAGAGGATGGATGTCAAAATTAGGAACGACGACTGGCCCTCAAAGCGTACTGGATGTAGTGAGCTCTTGTTAAGTTGCCCCTTATGATGACCAAATCCAACCTGCAGTCATGAGAGATACACCCCCAAACCATTACCGAGCCCCCGCCGTATGCAACAGTCGGTTTAATGTTCCTGGGGCGTAGGCCGTGTTCCGGTGCCTCCAAACTCTCGTTCTTCCATCAGTGACGTGGAGCAGAAAGCGACTTTCGTCTGACAAATGGATCCGTCTCCAAGTTCTCAGATTCCAGTTCTGTCGCGCAATACACCATGCTAAACGAGCAGCTTTGTGGTGACCTCTTAACGAGAGACGCTTTATGATTTGTCTAGCCCCCAGTCCTGCTGCTTTCAGCCCGTTCCTGGCGGTTCTGGTGCTGAAACGACGATTGGGCAACCACATCTGTTTCAGACGAGTACTTGTTAAAAGGGATTCGCGGCGTATGAGACGAAGAAGGTCCCTGTCTTCGCGATGTGTCGTCACAGGAGGTCTTCCGGATCTGGGACGGTCCTGTTCATCCCGGGTCTGAGCATGTTTCTCGACTTATCGGCTCACGACAGTGTGATGATACCCCAAATTCCTGCGTCATGCATGCCGATTATTTGCCATCTTGTGGCGTTTGATAATCGCCTTCGTGCCATGGTCACGCAACGCCATGGAATAACTGTTTAAAACCGAGCTTAAGAATGCAATTTTAACGTTTGGATATACTGCTTTCATAGATACTCGAGGGTAGCATGCTGCACGGGCATACCATGCATGGCACGTGAGCTTTCGTCACGCATGACTGATTACATCATCTCGAGAAAACATAATTCTTCCCGTAATTATATCTTTCATGACTGTTACAAATATTGGAACCAAACAATAATGAAATATATTAGGGTGTGCTTCACGTTTCTCTTTGTGTATATATTATACTTGAGAAGGAGACAGGTTTTATCAAGATAACTCGACTGCACAGTTGGGGAGCCAAAATGACAGGGATCTCAACCCACATGTCCTCTGTGAAATACAATGTGTGTACATGTATATATACAATTTGCATTTTTGACCTTCAGTTTTATTAATATTATTTGGTTGTAGATAGACCATGTATATTGAATAGTATATCATATATTAACTGTTGTCAGATTCTGAAAACTTTAAAATTCGATCCCGTATAGAGATTAATAAAAATAAAAACCACTATAATATATTCACGTACATTAGCCACAGTGAAGGTACCTCGCCTCCCGCAGGGTGTAAACGGGCACAAACGCAATTGTGAGTTACCTGTACTCGATCAAAGGTTTTAGTCCCTGGGTCTCTCCCCACTGTGAATGGTATCCTCAGTAAGTATACACTCACATTACTACATTAGCATATGTGACAATTATGGGTTCAATCGAGCATATATATGTTTTATCAGCCAGACATTTCTGACGGTGGTTACGCCCACCTGTGCGTCTCTATTGAGTGTGGCCATGACTACCGCAGCCTGACTATCAGCTCCTTTAAAGGGGGACACGGCTCGTGCAAAATGGCTTTCATGTCCTTTAAGCACCAATTTCTTTGCTGTTAGCTATAATTGTATGACGCATATTAATAAAACTATCAATGAGTACCCAAATAAATGAGATTTGTGTGTTTTTTTGTTGTCTAAGGCCACACTCAGCAATAGTTCAGCTATATGGCGGCGGTCTGTAAATACTCGAGTCTGGACCAAACAATCCAGTGACATCACGAGTGCTATCGTGTCCCACGCAAGTCAGTGAGCATGGCCGCCCGATCACGTTAGCATACAAGCATATAATAGTCACCTCTTACGACAAGCATGTGTTGCTGAAGACCTTTTATAA